TGTTGGAACAAGGCAGAAGGGCAGTATATCCTGGAGAGAGGTGCCGTGTCCCAGGATACTGCTGTGTACGTCGAGCGTAATGCACACCTGGAGTGAACCCACCGAGGGAAGAGAGTAGCTCTCCTTTAATACACGTTTTTACATTTATTTTCTGCTTTTTTCATCTTTATTCTATGCAAGCTGGCAAGCAAACCCGTTTCAATAAATATATCTGGAGAGGGAGAAACGGTGTCCTCTGGCAGTTTTGAAGCCCATTAAAACTGCTCATAGATCATGTTTAAATGTCAGCTCCGTCAAAAGCACATCACTCTCCAGCTGCTCCCATGTTGGCCTACTGGCAGGCCGAGCTGGTTAGCAGGGCTGATTTATGGCCCAGCAATATAATTCAGTTGCGCTTGTTCATTATTTACAGAAATCACAGGAATCGATGTTCTGGCCAGATCAAGTTACAAAAGCAATGATAGAAGAAGGGTTACTGTTTCAAATTAGGCAGGGGCTAAGCCAACTTGCTGGAGACCACAGTACGTGAATGAAAGAATTTAACGCATTCTCCTGGGTACTAACATGTATGTTCACCTTTGGGAAGGTCATGGGTACTAAAGTTTCACTTAGAGGAACTTACACACACGAGGTGAATAGAAATGATTAAATGAACATCTCTCAAGGACAGCTGAGGAAATTGTAGATTAGACCACCTACGTGGGATATCGTGCAGATAAACAGCTGGCAATGTGAGGAGACTAGGTGGTCTTACTTGCTTTGTCCATAAGTGGGAAGGGCTGAGTAGCATCAACCTGAAGGTTTGCCAGAAGATCGCCAGCGTGTTGCTTGAAACAGCTGACGGCAGCTTGGTCCGAGCAGCCCGGCACCTGCATCGGCAGTGGCATCGCTTTTCCTCTATGTGCCCATCAGGACAGTGCCTGTGAGAGCTCCCAAATGCTCCTGAAATCAGACAGGTAGGCCCATCCTCCAAGTGCTCCCCGTTAGACGAGCCCATGGAGGTAGTGGGGAACAAGGGTGACCTTCCTTCCTTGTCGTCTACTCATGCTCTCTGGGTGCGTGTCATTTTATGTTTCATTCAGGAAAAAATCCCAGCGCTTTAGGCTGTTTGGTTAGTAACTGTGATGGCACCTCTGGGTGAATCCATAGACACAAAGTCTGCAGTTATGATCTACTTATTTTGCTTGTAAAAGGTAAAACAAGGGCCAGCATTTCTCAAGTTAGCACCTGGGGTGTATCTCATCCTCCTGCTTTTTGCAGCCAGAAGAGTTTAGCTACTCATCCTAAATTTGATGCCTAACTAGAAACCCTGGAGATGCAAGTAGATCCTATGGATATCACTGGAGCAGCACAGATGCTATAAATAGGGCGATAATTCTAGCAAAGTCCTTATGCATGGCAGCATTTCTTGGCCAGCTCCCAGCTTTGGGATACGCTGGGCAATAAGAAAAGCTGGGCTGAGGGTTTCAGGAGGGATTCAGACAGTTAATGTGGTCCTAACTGAGAAAGTACTGTCAGGATTTTTCTGCTTGTATCCTTTTCTCTGCTGTGTATATATATCCTTTTGGCCAGAATGACATTATTTGTCCTCGTTTGCAGATGTATTATTGCTCTGAAGTGTAAGCATGAGCTCTGTGATATGGCAACAAGATAGCGTAGCTATTTCATGAGAAGATTTGTCCAGAACAGGTCCCAAGGCACTTTCCCAACAAATAAACTCCTGCAGTGATAACCTGCTTAATTATTAAATATGGAAATTAAACTGTTACATTGTTAGTCCCTCAGAAGATCCTAATACCTAACTACTGTCCAGAGCTAATTTTCTGAACAATAATTTAATACACAGCACAGATAAACTGCGTACTTAGATTGAATACAAATGATGTTTCAGTGACATGAAATATGGCCTTATGCTGAGCATCACTATGGCAACTAATGACATCACCGCAGGCTTCAACCTGCACAAAACCCAACTTCTGAGGGTCTCTATTTGTTGGCATGGATCTTTTCAGGGCTTTTGGGGGTATGAATATGTAAGCACCACAGTGTTGTCAAGGGTTTGCTATGTATGTTTACTGTCATTTGAAACATTTATTCCCTTTGTGGTTAATGTTGTTCTCATGAAGGAAACCTAATGAAAATTGCTGTTTGTATTTGGTTAGTAACATTTGTTGATAACATATGGTCTGGGAATGCTTCAGCAAATAAGAGCTTTTTAATAGTAAACAGAGATATGAGTTCTATAAAGCAGATGCTGTCAAAATACACAGTGTAAGGTTGGATATTTTCTTACTTTTGCCTCTTACCCAAAGCAAGATTATCTTCCTACTTTCCCTGCTGGTGACAATGCAGGTTTTTTAAGAGATAAAACATAACCTGTGACCTGAAGCTGCACTTAGAAAATAAGGTTGTTTCTTGGTTCTTATGCTTGAAACGTTTATTAGGTAGCTGATGGTTCACACATTAAAAACATATAATATTGGGGATCTGACTGGACCTGTAGTGCGTAGATAATTTATGCCAAACCTCTGCTCCCTGGCACTGGTCGCAGTTTGATGCATCGTCATGAAAGATGAAACATGTGGAACAGTGACACTGGGAGAGAAAACTTAAGGGCAAAGCTGATGAAGAAACTGAGTTCATTAATCAGCTCGGTGCTGAACACGCTCATCTGCTAAGCTCAGTTGGACAAGATTTGCTCAGAGTAGAACAAAACGTAGAACCACACTCTTTGGGCACAGGAAGGAGTAAATTATTTTTCCCAATAACTTTCCAAATGCAAAACGTGCTGTTTGATATTTATGTTTGAAGAACATCTAGTCACTGGACCACATGTCATCAGAGCCTTTTCCTAGTCATTTCAAGAGAACTACCTTTCTTCAGCAGAGGATCTAGTTTGAGATCAGTGTAAAATGAGAAAGTGTCATTAATAGCGTGGAAGTGGTTAGTGAGATATGGTATAATCTCTCATCCGACTTGCAGTGTTTTAGGTTGCAGTGTGTGTTCCTCATGGCATGCTCTTGTACAAGAAAAAGCACCTTGTCTGTGGTTATTCTTCAAGTTTGCTTGCACACTTTGCATGAGTTTTGAAGTGTGATGAATTTTCAGGGTCTCTGGGAAGAACATAGAAATCTAGCTTACAATGAATTGTAAAAAAAGACAAAGAGAACAAAAAAAAAGAAAAAAGAGCAGTATTTGTCTGCTAGTTTCACGTTGGGCCTCTGCATTGGATGTTTGGGAGCATCCTCCTTGCGATGGTGCACTGTGCCCCAGTCCTCCCTCTGCCCTTCATCTTTGGCTAAGCTGTTCTCTGCTAATGAGGGCAAGTGGAGTTTTAGGAGTGCTTTCCTTAGCTCTGTCTGGAAGTTTCTGTCTGCTTTTTTTTAATAAGTTTCTAACTTTCTAAGCTGTAGAAACAAAGCTTGAAACACAGCTGTGAAGTCTCAAACATAAAAGCATCATGACTTTTTACCCCTTAGTGTAGAAGGTATTCTTTTCTCTGCTATTTTCAAAATTTTTTAAAGCTTACAAATAGGAATTAGTTCAAGTTCCACTTAATTTTTGTTCCGTGACCCTCTTCAGCCTGTGCTTGTTAGCCAGAGGGGAGCGTTTTCCTGTACCTCAAAAAGCTTAGCACAGGTGAGAAATTTGACGTGCTGGTGTGGGTGGCACCACTTGTGGAGGCTCTTCATGAGCCTATTTGAAAAGCCGTGGCCCTTAGGATGTTGAACAGACTTGGTATTTCACAGATTTCTTTTCCCTACGATCTCTCTAAATCAAAGCTGATTGCTGTGTAAGGTCTGGGTATCTGTAAGAGGACCCCACGAGGATGCTCGCCAGCGCAGCTCAGGTGAGCCTTCGCGGCTGTCACCAGGCAGCAGCTCCAGCTGCAGCACGCTGCTCGCTGGGGCAGGAACAGGGCCCAGGAGGGAAGTCCCTGAAGCAAAGTGCAATGGGCTGTGGTCAAACTGGGGCTCTGGCCTCAAAGTTTCCCCAAGTGTCCAAGGCCAGAGAGGAAACCTCTAGCATGATGTGCTCAGGCCCATCACCAGACGTCCCTCTGGTGGGCTGCAGGGCTTCTGCAGTTCCCACGCTTGCGCAGGGAAGGTCAGCTGTGGGGTGAGCTCCCCTTGCAAGACTTAAAATGGCAAGTTTGGCCATAGGCGGTCGGCAGACTGTGGCTGGGACTCTGTGCCTGCAGGGTCCCGCGTGGAACAAGTTCATGTTCTCTCCACACACGGGCAGCTTGTGGTTGCAGGAGCTTGGAGATGCCCTCTAGAAACATGCATGTCTAGAGGGGGTTTTCACATACTGTGGGTCATTCAGCCTCCATCGCGCGGCTTTCCAAGCCACGGGACCAGCCGGGGGATGACTCATGGAGTACAAATAGTAGGCAGGCGTCTCGGTTCATTGCGTAGTCGGAGAGGTGGCCGCTTCCTGGCCACTGCCGTGCCATCCCCAAGGAGCTGGTGTCCTGCTCTGCAGCCCCAGCAAACTAGGATTACTCCAGATGTAATGGCTTGAAATTAAACCTGGGCTGGGCTGGAGGGCTGGCCTAGGACTCGGAAGAGGACCCGGGTTAAATTGGAGTTTCTTCAGAGAAAACAAACCTCGCTATCAACCTGGAAAGAAGCGGTACATTAGCCAACAGAAGAGCAGAGGCATGAGTGATTACAGATGTCCTACGTGCAGATGCCCTTGATCCTCAACTTCTGTTGTGACTATACAGGCCGTCGCTGCAGGAGACATATTGTTCTTTCTAAATAAAAAAAGTTGTCTTAAATTTGGTTTCATGCTGCTCCCAAATACTCTCTTTTTTTCCCCAAAGAACCATCATGGATTTTCCAAACATCTGTCCCAGAAGATAATTAATGCCCTTGTCACTCAGACAGCCCAGCTGCTTCGGCTTCTGCCAGACAGGACATTTTCAGTTAACCATTGCATGCCCAAGCAGTAGTGCTGCTGACGAGCTGAACATCTCTCTGTCCTTATTTTCACAGCTGGGGCACCCAAGGAGACTTCACGACAACACATGCGCTTCCTGCAGTGAAGGTGAAGCTGTTCACGGAGAGCACGGGAGTGCTGGCTCTGGAGGACAAAGAGCTTGGGAGGGTAAGGAGATTTTGAGTTTAATAATGCTTCCTTCTGGCCCTGCTTTTCTAGAGAAATCTCTCCTGTACGGAAATATCTTTGGAGCACAACATGCTCTGCTTTTTTGCCAAGCTTCAGGAGCAGGGGGAAAAAGCAAGCTCTCCACTGCTGGAAAGGAGCGTATCTCGCATGCTGTCTTTGTTGTGAGTTTTTAATGGCAGCATTTCAGCTGGCTGTGCCTGCGCTCCGCAAAGGCAGAGGATCTTGTGTGCGATATTGGCAGTCCGGAAAGCCTTAGAAGTTGCTTACGGAAATGGACATTCCTGAGGCAGAAAAGGGGATTATGCTGAAGGAAAAAGAGGGGATTTAAGTTTGGCAAGAGAGTGTTAAGCTGCTCTCATATCTGCTGAGCAGCCGGTGCACGGTTTGAGCATTTGAAAGCACTGACTGCGGTACTCACTGCAAAGGGCTTGAAATCCTGGCTCCCCTGCGGATTGTGGCTGAACTGGTAGCTTCAGTGGGGCTGGACTGGAGAGTGAAATTTGGGGGTTCATTTCCCCCATCAATGGTGTTAATAGCAAAGAGCTCAGATTCCCGGGGCACTGGCCACAGAGCCATCCTTCCCACCCCATCTCTGCCTCTCACCTGCGGTCCCTAACCCAGCACCCTGGGACTGGTGGCCCTCCATGGCTGCAGCCCACAGCTCCAGAATATCTGTGGATGGCACTTTTCTGTGGCTTTGGGACACTTCGGTTCGTCTCCATGGATTTTTTGCAGCTGTGTAATTTGTGTTGGCCCCAAGCATAACTGGCAGCAAACTCCCTGCCACCCCTTCCTCAGCTCCTCAAGGGTGTGAGACCTGCATGGTGAAGACCCCATGAAAACCAGTTCACGGGAAAAGAGGCTGCACCTTACACACGGGCTTGGCACCTCCCATGTCACGGCTCAGCGTGGCCTGAGTGATCTCCAGGAGCAGCCCGGGCTCTGTCTGCCCGGCTCTGCAGCACACCTTGCTCTCTGCCTTGTCTACATGGTCACGGCCAAGAAGGCTGTAGCCAAGAAAGCCACTGATCCTGTGGCAAGCCCAAGTGTGGTATTTATAATTATGGACTAACCTGTTGGGATGTTTCTTGTTAACTCCATGGCTGCTTGTGCCTTGACACAGGAGAGTCTGTGTCTGTAAAGCAAAGTTTTTCCTAATTAACATTGTTTCGTGTTCATCCTATTCATACAAGTGCCAAACATTTTTCCAGGTCCTCATGAGCTGTTGATCTAATTTATATCTTTATGGTGGAGAGTGCTGCATGTGATTTTGTCTCATACAATTTATGTTCATTTTAGCTATTTGGGTTTTCACGTTCACGTCATGTCCTTTGTTCTTGCACTTGAGAGAGAGAAAAGCAAAGCTACCCCTTCTTTTCTCCTCTCAGTCTTCTCTTCAAAGAGTCACAGCCCCTTCAGACTTTCCTCATCCACACCTTGATCCTTCCTTTCTCCCTGTCCTGCTCCTTTTTTCACAAAGGGGTTGACCCCACCAGGCTGCAGGACTCCAGACAAAGACCTACAGCTGCTTTGCTGCACAGCATCGTAATATTTTCAGGATTATTTTCAAAACCTTGTTCTTCAAACAGCCCTGCACTCCTGCCTTTACCCACTGCAGCACGCTGAGCAGAGCTTTTCACCCGGCCGGCCGTGATGCCATTCAGGGCTTTTTCCCCTGAGTGGTTACAGTCGGTGTAGACCCGCTTGCTTTTTAAGTCTTGTTTCCACTGGCAGCCATGAGCGGTGCTGACTTTGCTGGTCTCGGGAAGCAATTAGCTGTGCATGTTGTTCTGAGAAAGATGTCAGGCCCCAAAGCAACCCCTCTTGCCCTGAAATGCTGATGAGCCAGCCCCGCCAATGCACTTTAATTCCTGGTCCAGTGGGAAGCCATCCCTCAGCTCTGAGCTTCTGCAATCCAAAGGATGTGGGCCAGCAGCAGCTAGCGCAGGGAGCCGGGCGGTGATTTCCCCTGGCCCGTGGCCACCAGCACTTTCAGTCGGACAAACTTCAAAGGGGTGCTCGGATGAGCGGCTGAGAGATGACGCGTGTCTGCTCAGGCTGCATCAGGATTTCTTTTTTAATGAAATAATGAAATCGGGAGCACGTTAAGCCCCTGGTTTAGCTGTTGGAGTGGGCACGAACCTGTCTGCACGGAGAGAGGAGGGAAGCAGGTTGTATACACAAAAACACCCATGCTCAGCCGCCCTTTGAGAAGCGGCTTTGTGCTCTGCCAGGCATGTACAATTGCCCACTTTCTATTGCAAGTGTTAAATTGGCAACCGGCCGGCACTCCTCATTTCACCACTTCTATCGAAGAAAGAGCTGGAAAATGCTCCCAAGCCCTAAACTGCTGGATGGGCAGCTGAAGGCATGGGAATACATCCTGGCCCTATTGAAGCTGGTGGCAAGGCTCCCACAGATTTCAGCCATGCCAAGACTTCATCTACTGAGGGGAAGGAGGGGAAGAGCCATGAATTACAACAACACTGAGCAAAGTTTGTGTGCCTTTTGATGAAAAAGAGTTAGAAATCAAAGTAGAGAGCATCCCAAACACCCTGAGTGGCTGCTCCCTCGCTGAGAGATGCGGTTTAGTGCAAGTCTATGTGCTTGCGCGACCTGCCTTGAAGTGGGTCCTTGGAGGCTGCTCAGAGTTTAGGTCCATCCATGTTTCTAACAACACCCCGTGTGGAGGACTCACTTTTCATCTTCAGGATTTGCTTAAATGGTGCAGTAGAGACTGGTGTTGCTCAGTGTCCTGGTTTCGGCTGGGATAGAGTTAATTTTCTTCCTGGTAGCTGGCATGGTGCTGTGTAATGGATTTAGGATGAGAATAATGCTCATAACACACTGATGTTTGAGTTGTTGCTAAGTAGTGCTTGCACTAGTCAAGGACTTCTCAGCTTCTCATGCCCTGCAGGGGGCACAGCCAGGATAGTTGCCCCAAACTGGCCAAAGGGCTATTCCATACCATATAATGCCATGCTCAGTATAGAAACTGCAGGGAGTTGGCTGGGGGGCAGTGACCGCTGCTCGGGGACGGGCTGGGCATCGGTCAGTGGGTGGTGAGCAATTGCATTGTGCATCACTTGCTGTGTATATTATTATTACTATTATTATTATAATGTTACTATTACAACTACTATTTTACTTTATTTTATTTCAATTATTAAACTGTTCTTATCTCAACCCACAAGTTTTCTCACTTCTGCTCTTCTGATTCTCTCCCCCATCCCATCGGGGCATGGGGAGTGAGCAAGCAGCTGGGCTGGGGTTAAACCACAATACTCAGTTATCTATGTAACTAATAACAGCTTCAGATTCCTGCCAGAGAAAGCATTAGTCTAATTCAATAAAATAAGTGATAAATAATGTTGATGAATAAGGGTGAAGTTGAGAATCTATTGATGTTAACCTCAGTCTTTGGAGGAGGCAATAAAATAATTTTTAAAATCATTCATCAGAGGGTAGTAGCATCAAGGGTATTTTGGTGGACAACAGCCCCTAGGTTGTTGACTCAGCAGTCAAGTTGAAGAGCAGCAGAATACAAGATTATAGTCTGGGCTGGAGTTTGGCAGGAGCACGGACTAAGCGTGAGTAAGGAATGAGTGATGGCAGCACAGCAAATAACAAGGGTGAATGCTGCCATTTGTAAAATGATTTGCTTGCATAAAGGTTAATGGATTTAAAGGAGATTCATCTCACTGCAGAACAGTGGAGACTTGAATGAATTTGTGCCAGGCAAAGTCACCTCTGAGAATGAAAGCATCAGAAGAGGAATGGGTGTAGGAGGGAGAGGGTTAAGCCACCTCAGAGGCTTGTATGGAAACACCAGGAGAAGATGGTGGATGTGGTGTAGTTCTGGGAGAAGACTCTGTGGCTCACTGTCCAAAGGAGCTTGCTCTGCTTTCTAAGGGTAATGGGTGAGTGGGAAAAGCACAGCTAAGATCAGGAAAGATTACTTGCCTCTTGGAGCCTTTCAGTTTCTTTGATGACCCAAGCACTTCATTGGTGTTCATCTGCACAGCTCCACTGCAGTCACTGGTGTTGCACTGATTTACCCCAGCTGGAGACTGCCCCATCGTTTCCTCACTGCGTGAAATGGAATCAGAGTCCTGCAGCCACTGGTGTCATGACATGTGATGCAGGTTTTATCTGCTGTTGTAGTGCAGTCAGACACACCAATCTATCTAAAACGTTGCCTGCTGCATCCAGTCTTAACAGTAAGCAAAAAATCAAACCAGCTTCCCCACAACCTGATAGTAGCAATAGATGAACAATTTTAGGTAGAGCTTTCTGAGCCCTTGAAACAGCTCACCTCGCATGGGAACTGTCAGGAAGGCTGGATGCTGACCGAGTTGTATGAGGCTGAAAGCGGGGAATTGCAGTGAGCGACATCAGCAAAAACTTGTTGCTGTTTTACTAATCACAGCAGTCCACCATCACGTCTAGACTGATTTACCTGGACCGTTGCAAGTTCATTTAGCATGGTCTTTCCTTAAACGATGGGAACTGATAATGCAGTTCTGTTCTGCACAGCCCCATGAACAATGGCATGGTAGATAGAGGAGCCGAAGAAAATATGAACTAATCTCAAAATAATAAGCTGTACTTTAAAAAAGCAATACAAAGCCACTGATGGTGGCTGTTCACTAACATGAATAGAAATTTCCAGACTGACTTTTAGGGGAAAAGTAGCTCATCTGATGTGCTTTTGTTCCCCATTAAAACCCATTTTGTGAATAATTTTTCCCTTTAACGTTGTTGATTTTGATGCTTGCAGGTTGTTCTCCACCCTACTCCCAATAGCCCAAAGCAATCAGAGTGGCACAAAATGACTGTTTCCAAAAACTGCCCGGATCAAGACCTGAAAATCAAGCTTGCTGTGCGAATGGATAAGCCTCAAAACATGAAGCACTCTGGGTAAATGCTTGTTTCAATCTGAACTCAATTTGTTTTGAATGTGCATTAGAAAAAAACTCTTTTTTTAAGATTCTGGAAGAGAAGGTAAAAATGGCATTAGTTCAGTCATTTATAATGCACTTTCCGTATTCTTAGCATAGTCTTTTTAATGCATATCAGCCAAACAGTTTAAATTTTAAACGGTATTCCTCAGGATATTGTTAGGTTATTTTTTTCCTGTAAGGAAATAACAGCTGAACTGCCCGACTCTTTTATTGAGAATGGCACAATTTCTTAATTTATTCTGTGTTTCCCTGTATTGACTTCTCAGAACGAAAAGCACAGTGCACCTTCCGCTTGAATTATACTCCAGTATAATCATCATTATTTATATGGAGATACACGGCACAATTAAATAGCAGTTGCCTGGAGTAGGACTAATGATCTCGAAGGTTAAAAGGGAAACCTCTCCCCTCCGGACGTGAGTGTCAGAGGATCTGGGGCCAGGGAGGTCCCTGACTGCCACCCCTGGCTTCCACCTTTGTGCCGTGCAATTACAAATCAGATCATCCTTGGGAAGATCTAGCTAACGCTATCGGCAAGGCTTTCCTCTGTTTGCTCTTCAGAGCTGAGGATGTGACAAAAATAGAAACCATCCAGGAAGGTCACTGTTTTGATTAACACTTTCTCCGGTACGTTTTTGGTGCTATAAAAGTGACTTTGTTTCATTTTTATTTTCATAGTGTTTTGTTAGATTCGATCCATTATTAGATGCTTTGGATCACTCATCTCTTTTTTAATTCCTTCTCCTCCTCCTTCTTTCTTCTCCGCTAATGAGATCAGAGCCAGTAGCCACATGTGAAATTTAATTTTTCCATCACAATCACAGGCACCAGAGCCACGAAAAGACAGTTCACCTGTCATACTTGTTTCCTTGACTGCAGCTGATAGCAACAGGACCGAGCAGTCCTGGCTTTTCCCAGGCTTTCTTCAACTAACATTTGATTTACAAGATGCTGCTTAAAACTATGTGGTTTATAATGCTAGCTTGCTATCAGAACTGAGATTGTCTTTCTGTTGATGTTAGCGGCAATAGGAAAAAGGACAATTATTGCCCTGTTCTTGAACTAGCCAAGTACTCAGTGCCCACATTAGCACGACTTCGAGTTTTGTGGCTTAAACATTCACCAAGAGTATGTTGGATCTCTTCTGGCATAAGGAACCACTAGCACAACCAAAAAGGAGTTGTTTTTCTATTTATTGAGCTGGAACTAAAGTAATTGTAATGATACATAAAACATATTAATGCTGAATAATGTCCTTGTGTTTATTATTGGTCTGGTGCTGCCACTATTTTTGCCAGTGTTTGTAGTACAGTGTCACAGTGGCCTCTTCATCACGGAGATTAAATGCTAATTTTGACACTAATTTAAAAAGTTAGTTCTTCCTTTGTTGAAAATAGTAGATTCCCTCCTCCTTAGACATTGCTCAGTTTGCTTGGATATCTGTAGCCAAGTGATTTCTAGGAATTCATCTTAAGCTGTTCAGTGAAATGTCCTGGTTTAGTGAGTCCAGTGGATACTGGGATCCCAGGTACCGGTTTTGATGTAGTAAGTATCCCTTGTCTTTGACAGTTCCCCTCAGCCAAATGGTTCTGTGAAAGCTTAAAGCAACATTTGGGGTTTAAATTTAATTCTTGTTGAAAATGTTCACCCATCTGACCATGTCGTAGCTTTTCACTGGCATTGAAGGGCTTCTAAATTCTGAACAAGTTGTGAAAGACAAAGAGAGAGTTAATACTGTGTAACTTTAAGACTCTGGGAGCTGTTTGTGTCACTTTCTTAACAGGTTATTTATTCAGGCTAGAAATACACACATTCATGAATGCTGCTGAGCTTAAAAGTCCTGTAATTATTCCTGCTTGTGTATTAACTTCAGTTTCTAGGTGTCAAGAAAACATACTGAAAAGCAAGAGAACAGCATATAGTCACTTGTGTGTTGAATTCACCTATTCTTTTCTCCTAGATATTTATGGGCCATTGGTAAAAATGTTTGGAAGAGATGGAAGAAACGATTCTTTGTCCTGGTCCAGGTAACAGATTTAACTAGAAGTGATCTTAAATCACAACATGAAATGTTTAAGTCTTTGTTCTGACCATTTTCAGTGTTGTATAATTGATGCAAAGCTGTGGTTCTGTGTAGGGTGTTTGTTAAGTGTTGGATTTTTTTTCTAAATGTATACAGCTTCTCAAAGATATCCCACTTGCAGACCTCTAGCCATGAGTTTCCTGATGCAAATGAATGCTCAGTGAAATGGAGAACCAATTTTAGTGAGGAATTAATAAGATGAGGAGGAAGCTCAGTCTGTCTTGGCTGGAGGTACTTGGGTGCAAATGCTCCCTTTTGAGCCTCCAGATAAAATTTGAAATGCATTGAAATCTACAGTGATTGAAATCACTGGTTATGACAGAGTCAGTATTTTGTTCTTGATGTTTATCTTGCCTTCACGTTCATTACTGCCTCTCATTGTCTGCAGCTCTCATCGATCATTTTGCAATGTCTTTCTTCCTTTTTCCCTTTTTTCTTTTTTTCACTTTCTGCCCTCCCAGTTTCAGTTGACCTGTATATTTGCCCATGGTTAAGAATTTCAAGAAAACAGGCAGAAGATGTCCTCTGTGACCTAAAAAGATCTGGTCGGTGCTTGGTGTGTTAGATCTTCCCTCACCTTCCCAAGGGCAGCTGAAACCACTGCACTGGCCACAGAAGTGTGGGGTCCCAGTTTGAACAGCTCTATCTTCACACCAACCTGATAAAGCCACAGATTCCTCTTGGGTCCATCTCTTTCTCCCTCCTCTCTGGGTTCCCCAGGGTATGTTGTCTCCAAGTATGAGAAAAGAAAGCTTTGTGCAAGATCCTGTGATGAAAGCAACACAGAGATGCTCTGATCTGCTCAGCACAGATCCAAAGTGATCAAGTCACAGGGTGAAATCCTACTGCCGATGCAACAGATGGCAGGTCTGCCGCAGAGGCGCCGGGATTTCACCCATGTGTAAGATCTGAGATGGTGTAAACCAGGTGCACCAGGCTCCACATTTTGGATGGAGCATGCTTGTGTGCTGGCTTTCCTGTGCTGATAACGGGAGGATTCCACACAGTCCATCTTCCACATTACACAGCTTCAGTCCTGAATCACCTGGTGTAAACTGGTTAGTTTGTTTTGAGTTAGTTACTACTCCAAGTTCAACTGTCTCAGTAGGAAGCTTAATTGCATTCCCCATTTGTCCATCACTGCTGGCTTCCGTAGCACTAAACTATGTGGCAGATAAGAAAATCTATCCTGGGGGGGTAAAAGGGATTTATGATGTGTGTGACCCATGTAAGTAGGAGCCCATTTGGAGAGACCAGTTGAGTACCTAGTCCAATAACGGAGTACAATCAGCAGCGGCAGTTTAAGTGCTCGTTCTGTGCTCCAAATGGGGTCAAAATGGCCACAGAAGTGGGGGAGTTAGTGTAGAGCAGCCACAGGAGATGCCTCTATCTGCCCAAGCAGTATATTTAGATTTAGGTAAAGGTGATGGGTTTACGAGCTGTGTAATCCATTCCTAGAGGCATTTGGTTTGCAAATGCACCCTCTGTGCAGGGACTGGCCAGGTCCCTGGTGAGGTGGGGGTGCTTGGCACCTCGCAGGGTAACCCAGCATCTTGCAGAGCTAGACCACTGGAGGTAAATCCCAAACTGTCTCCTGGGTAAGAAGCAGCAGAGGCCATAATGAAGAAAAGGCCTTTTGGGAACATCATGCTGTGACCGTGTTCTTGGGCAGGGATTGAGGGACTGCTTTTCTCTGTGTGTTTCCTTTATTATGTTCTGAAATGAAGTTAAAAGTGCTGTGGCAGTCTGTGATCACCTGTAGAGCAACTAGTATTGCTTTTCCCTGAGAGACGATTCATTCCTATTAGACCAAGTTCTCAATCCCTTTTTCCCTGTGAACAGAGATTCTCCAAAGCAGAGAATCCTCTTTCCTAAAATAGCTTCTCCCATAAATAAATCTATTGATACTCTTCTGTGCAAGGGTTTGCAGGTTTGGACATGGATTCCCATGTCTCTCTCAAGGAGGCTGTCCTTCTGGCCTTTCTATGTGGTTGCAGTTACTTCTCTAGTTTTCAGTTGCTATGTATTCTCCAGCTTGCTGTGGAATTGAAGCTCTCAGAGTTATTCCATGTTTTCTCATGTTACTAGGTCTGTATTCGTCAGTTGGCATATAAAAGCAGAATTTGGCCAGAAAAGCAATTCATCTGAATAAGATGAGCAGACTTTTGCCCCCAGAGAGTCTCTGTAGCCCACCTCAGAAATTCCAGCTGCCACTGCAGCTTCTCTGTTATGTTACCGTTTGCTCAACATTTGGTGCAATGTAAAGTGTTCTGCCGTACATCAAATATAAACAAGAAACACTCTCTATGCAGTCCCTCAGATGTAGTTTGAGCATATTGAACATGTCAGCAGGCAATAAAGATGGAATAAAAATACTTTGCTGTCCGTATGTTTGTCATTTGCTTTTCATGCAATGCAAAGGATGGGTGCTGATATGAGCGGGGATTGGCAGCAAAGGTGTTGATGTCCAGGATGCTCTGAACTCTGCTAAACCGCAGACAGAGAATAACCCCGGCAGGAAGGTGAGCTGGCTCCGTTACATAAAGCACGGACAAGGAGCAGCCCTTGTTTCAGGAGCTTGTTTGTCTGCACCAGGCTCCTGCTTGCGCCCGAGCCAAGAGATGGAGTCCCATGCATAAAGTCCATTTGGGACAGAGCGGTCGGGTCAGTCTGTGACACTGCCAAGAGGGCAAGGGCTGTAAGTTCAGATGAATAACTAAACGTTTCCTTTCTGACCCCTTGTCTCTGTCCCTTACCTGTAGCATCTTCTATTGCAGCTCTGTCTCCTCTCCCGTCCCTTGCAGAGTAACCTCCTCCTTCTGGTCCTGTGCCCTCTCCCTCCTGCCCCTCTTTCCCCATTTCAGATGGACGCAGCCTCAGTTCCTTCAGTGCTATTGGGTGGTACTGCTCCGCCTTCTGGTACCAGTGGTTAAGAAATTCATGGTAATAACTACTGAAACTCTTCATAACCATCTAAACAAGGCACAAAGGTGCCAAACTGCATGGGCGGCACCAAGGAGGAAGGTGTCGATGGCAGTTTGTCTCTTTTGTGTCAGTAATGCCTCGCCGGTATGAACGGAGGCTTTGCGCGTGTGTGTAGAAAAAGGAGCTCTACAGGGAGCATTTCCAGGGCTAGCTGGCTTCTGTAAGCCCTGGAGAGAAGGGGAAAGGAGCGGTAACTGCCTTGTAATTTGGGTGGAATAATCCCTCGCACCTTCTGTGTCTGTGTAGCTGCGAGGGTTGTACAGGAGAGGAGATGATTTGT